AATATTGAAACATAAAATTCTTGTAATATTTCCACACATGTTATCCGAGAACTGACTTTAAGTTCCGGTAAAATATTAAATTTTTTATAATATTTCTCATACTTTTAGTTGAAATTTATTTCAAAAGGTGTTTGTATTTCATTGAAAACATATTTCTAATATGATTGCAGTTATAAATATTTCACAATTAATTCACTGCACATGTATTTTGATGCGCTTATTAGTCGCGTGTATTATATTTCAGTTATAATTATAGCAATTATAAGACAATTTGGTTAATGCTTTTTATTTTTTCCTTTATTTCCTTCATTCACTATTATGTGAATCAATAACCAAATTAACACATAATAAAAATGGTCTTAAGACTAGACTATTTTTGTCTACATTCATGATTTTGCATAATGAACCGGGTGTTTGTATATCAAGTTAATGTGCAATAACTATATGTTGTGTAAAAATGTTTTGTCTGAAATTGTTTTGATAACATTAAACAAATCAGTCATTTATTAGAAATGCCAGTGAATGTGATCATGAATTTTCAACATTCATTAAATATACTGTTATTTTCTCTCGTATGGAGTTTGCATTCAATTTACAGTAAGTTTTAACAATCAGTTTGTAATTAATAAATATTTTATTTAATAAAAATTAGTTATAATCTTAAAATACTCTTGATAAATGATGAAATTGTGTGAATTATTAGTACACTTTTAAAATAAAACTAAAATTTTAATTATATTTTAAGTTAACATTAGTAATGTTACATTACTGTATTTACAAGTATTTTTGCAATACTTTTTATGCTGTATGTATTGATATTTAACAGAATTTCATACATTGGTTTAAATTATGTGAAATATTTATTTTTAATTTAAATGTTTGCGACAATTAATGCGGATAAAAACACTGCACATAAAATTACAAATAAAATTAAGTTTTATTTGCAAATATTCAAACATATTTCTATTTAAGCACTGATTTTAATTCATAAAATTCAGGCAAAACTTAACGTAAACTGATATTTATATAGAAATTTTAATTTAAATAATCTTTAGTTTTAATTAAAATGTAATTTAATAATCTTTTCGTTTAATAATTTAAGAAATCTGTATTAAAAAGCATTTTCAGTAATAATTTATGAAAATTTAATGTAATTTCAGGCATAAGTGATAGCATTCCTCAACTAAAATACTACGAAATCATTGACACAAATCATATCAAACACAATAAGATTGTTAAAAGAAGTGCCGACAAGAGTGACAACACATACGAAGAGTCTACCAAACATTGGGTGACATTTCGGACCATTAATCGTGACTTTAATTTATTATTATCTCATAATAAAGACATAAGAAATGCAAACTTCAAAGCATTTACAGTGGACTCAAAGGGCAACAAAAAACCCATTTTTGTTGATTTCAATGAATTTTTTTCGGGAACCGTTGCCGGAGAAAACGGATCGGATGTGAAAGCACACATCGGATCAGATGGTGTGATGACTGCCGCCATTCAGACAGTGAACGAGACTTACGAAGTGGAACCCATTTGGAGACATTTGGATAACTATCGCGACAATCACTCAATGATTGTCTACAAGCGCTCAGATGTGAACCATTCCTCTGGTAATGAATCGCTAAAACCGTTGTGTCATTTAATCAAAGCCAAGGATAATAGAGGCGACGATTACGTGGACACCGAAGAACTGATTCGCCAAAAACGGAAAGCACTCTTTGAGGACATTACGATCGGTGACGAGTCCAGTGGACAGCCATTCAAACCGACTCATACCCACTGCGCCGTCCGTCTGGTCGCTGACCATTACTTCTACCGATTTATGGCTCAGTTGAGCCCGAAGAAGGCCATCAATTACTTGATCCATATTATTGATAGAGTGAACAACATATTCACAAATACCGAGTGGACAGACGACCCGAAACGGAGGCCAGGCTTCGGAGGAATGGGTTTTATTATCAAAGAGATTCAATTGCATACAGAGCCGAGTGACCAGAAGACACACTACAACTCCGGGTACGGGAACCGTTCGGTTCGCCAGATTCTGGACCAGTTTTCTGCCGACACAGAGAACCGTCAGTTCTGTTTGTCTCATCTCTTCACTCACCGGCCCTTTGAGGCCAACGACACAGTCCTGGGTCTGGCGTCCACAGCGTCGCCGCGACCCGACATTTCTGGCGGTATCTGTTCGGTGGCCGACACCAGCACTGGTCGACCCGTATATCCCAGCACTGGTCTCACGAGAACCCGAAACTCTTTCGGCCACACAATCATCACCAGAGAAGCGGTTTTAGTGAGCGCTCACGAGTTTGGCCACAGTTGGGGCGCAGAACACGACCCGCACACCGATGAGTGCCTCCCGTCCGTCACAAACGGCGGGCCGTATATTATGCACACCTATTCCGTGACCGGATATGAGGCCAACAATCGAGTATTTATTCTTGTAGTCGTTGTACTAATTGTTTGCGTTAATATTTGAACTTCTTTTTCGCATACCATTCCTCCAGTTCTTCTCGCCGTGCAGTAAGCGTTCAATACGAGCCGTTTTGCTGTCCAAATCGCACCGTTGTTTTGTCAGTAAGCGATACGCCTATCAATGGCCGCACAAAACAATACTAATATTTATGTATTTTAATAAACTTCGGGGTGTTTTTCAGAGCCGGAAAAGTCTTATTGCGGTAACAGTATTGTGGAGGCGGACGAAGAGTGCGATGAGGGCCTACTGGCCAGCGGTGACACCTATACGCGGGGGCAGTGTTGCGACAGTCGGTGCCGACTCATGCCCGGCGCCGACTGCAGCGACAAGAATGCCGAGTGTTGTCGCGGCTGTCGTTTGTCACCCGCGGGAGTGCTTTGCAGAGATAGGGATGAAATGAATTGCAGACAACAGGCCTATTGCGATGGCGAGAGTGAGTGAGTGATCAATAGGTTTACTGTTGATTATAATTACAGCGATAATCTGTTTTGAAACGGATAGCCAGTGTCTCGAAGCGAGGCCAGTGGCCGATGGATCTGATTGTCTAGACCGGGGTCAGTGTCAGGCGGGTAAATGTGTGGCCTATTGTACGGCAATCGGACGGCAGCCGTGTCTTTGCGAACAACCGATGGACGCCTGCTATCGGTGTTGTCGTCTGACAAACAACACGTGCCGACCGCTGGAGCCCCGGGACCCGCTCAGTGACGGCACTCCCTGTCGGTACGGCTTTTGTGACAAACAGATCTGTCAGAAACAGATACAAGACTTTGTTGGACGGTTCTGGAAAGTGATCGACAAGATTACCATCAATTCATTCGGTCAGATGTCTCTAAATAAAGTTTTTTTGCCACAATTTTATCGATTTAATTAAAATTTATTTTACTTTGTTTTGTTTCATACGTTAAGTCCGTTTCATGAAAGACAATATTGTCGGCGCTGTGGTTGTGGTGACACTTATTGTCTGGATTCCCATCGGATGTGCCATTAATTTCTACGATCAGAAACAGATGGAAGAGTTGCGGCGGCGGCGAAGGCCTCGACGTTTTGGCCCCGGAATCGCCCGCTCGACGGCCGGCCCGTGGGGTCGACGCTCGCGGACTACAGTTTACCGTCGGTTTTAGTTTTAATTATAATTAACTTATTTTATTTATACATTTATTTATTATATAAAATAAAATTACTTTTAAATTATTAATGAATTCAAAACACGGAATACAGTATTTCTAATTATGTGTTAGAAGTCATGCAATGATATAACTATGTATTGTATTTGCTATCCTTTCAAACATTCATTTGATTTAAACATTTATTTCATTCACAAAACTTTATTTTCCATTCAATTTAAGATACAAAATGAACTCAAATGTATTGATTGTATGCCTAAAAACTATTGCACTTGTGGTGAGCACTGGTTCCGCAGCCATTGATCTTCACGTACTTCGGTATATGAACTGCCATTTCATTCATTCGCCTCAAGAGTTGATCCCTTGTGTCGTCCAAAAGACCTAAACGGAAGACTCGGTGTCGATTGGCCAGAGTCTCGGTTATGAACTCATATACTTCATAGTACTTTTCCAGCGCCATATGAATGCAGAACTGATCCAAACTTGCGAACAAACGTAAAGCACTCAAGACGTTGTCGTCGTAGATATCCATTTCGGATCCGAGTGTCAGAGCTTTGAGTGTTGGATGAGTTACCACTAAATTCATAAAACTTTTGAAACAATTCTTGAAACATTCTTTTTCGGGCTCTAATGAATGGACACAATTCACGTGACAATCAATGGCATCGAGAGACAAGTAACGCATATTTGGCACCACTTCTGCCAATTGTGACCACATTTCTGGTGAGCACTCAATAGCATACAGACTGAGTGACCGAATAGTAGTCAATGGTGTCATTGATGTCGTGTCGAAGCGCAAGGGATCAGATGAGTGCGAAACGATTGCCAAATGTCTTAAATTTGATAACTTTGCGATGTTTTCCGCGAACACTTCGGTGGAGATCTGTCCCAAAGGAATGGTTAGAGTCTTGAGATTCTTCAGACGATCGCAGATAATGAGAAACCATTCGCCAAATTCATTGTCTTCACTGAAATCTGATCCCTTTTCAAAGTGAGAACTGAGTGATAGTTCTTGTATTTGAGGGCATTTTGTGGGCAGACTGTCAATGGATTGCGTGTCAAATGTATGTCTCATTGTTTTCAATGACCGTATGTTTGGCGGCAGATAATCGATGAGTAGATCCGAATCGATGGGTATTTCATAGATCTCAAGACTACGAAGAGATGTCAACTGCCGTATGATATCTGCCAGAAATGGTGCGAATCGCTGGTCAATGTTTGCAATCGAGATGTGTGTGACTTTTGCCATGAGTTGTGCCCATTGTCTGGATGTGTTCTTCTCGGTCACAAAGAAAGAGACCTCAAAGAAGGAGATCTGGCGAAGAAGTGGCAAATGTTTGACAATGGCTTCCATTCCAGTGAATCGAGATTTGGTGCGTCTTATGTATAATCTCCGAACTCGTGGCAACTTCTTGAGCAGTGCTTCGTTGTCTTCGGCATCTTTGCTGATATACCCGCGACTGATATCAATGGCCTTCACATCAATAGATCCAGTGATGGATTTGGTGAGTCGTTCGCAATTGCAACTGCATTTTGATTGAAATCCAATGGCCAACGATTGTGTCCTCCGAAGCGCTTCTTGAGTACAGTCGCGGAACTGTTGTGACACTCGTTTGAAACGAAACAACTCTTTGATTGGCAAATGACTGAATATAAGTCCTAATATGTCATCGCATAAGACAACACTTCCAGAGTTTGACAATGGATTCATTGACTTTTGTCTCAAGACTTCTGTCACTTCTTCAGTACATTTGAGACAAGATTTGATTTGAATTTTGAACTGTTTTTATGATTCAATTAATTGTTTTATTTAATGAATGAATATTTTTTAAATGTTTGAATTTGTATTCAAAGTGCGAGAAATTGATATTATCTTTGAATGCAATTATTGTTTTCAATGCTATTTATTTAATTTAGTTGTTAATTGTTTTGTAACAGTCAAACGGGTGAGAGATTCAACACTTTTGTATGGATTGGAGACCATTGATGAAAATGTTGACAAAGTTAACCATTACTGTAGTCCTAATTGTTTATATCATATCCACGTTTTTCGTACTCTTTCTCAACCATTTGAACACTGATAACGACTTTCGGCCATCGGATGACAACTCACTGGACGCCACACTCACCGCTCGTCAGCGATACCCGTCGGCACTCCGGCAGCCAGTCATTGACCCCAAAGACGATCCCATTACCATCGATGGCCAGATGAGACACACGTTTTGGTTTTTACAGGTTATTTACAGCCAATCACTTAATAACTTGTTGATAATTTTGATATTTGTATCATATTTTTGGGATCAGATCTCCGACCTTCACGTCAGCATTCATTTTGATCCAAAACGAGCGCCAGATTTGGAGAAATTCTGCGAGGAGTACATCGATATCATTAAACCGTCGGTAGTTTTAGCCACTGGAGACCTGACAGACGCCCGAACCAAGAGTCCAATGGGTTCGCGAGTCCACGAAGAAGAATGGATTATGTATTGGAATGCATTGAATAAGACTAAAGTCGGCTCCAGAACTGTATGGCTGGACATCAAAGGCAATCACGGTTTGTGCGATTGAATGCGACAATCAATTGGGTTTTTATTGACAATTGTTTCACTATTTATCGGCAGATAATTTCAATGTCTACGACTGGAGTCATCGGAACAACTTCTTCAAGAAGTACTCGATTAGAGGCCCGAATAACACGCGCTCTTATAAACACAGTGTCAGACACGACACGGAAACCTATAGTTTCATTGGTGTCGACGCCTGTTTGGCTCCGTCGCCGAAAAGGCCCTTCAATTTCATTGGTCTGCTTCGGGACAAAGACATTGAAGCGTAGTTTGTCTACTTTCGCCTGCGTGTCGAGCTCGCGTCGTTAATATGGTAAACCAAGCCTGTGATGGGCTGGAGTAGGTATCGCTACGGGTCAGGGCCGGAGTCTCTCGAATAATTCACTCTCTCAGTTGTTTTAGACGTGATTTTTGTGGCAATTAATAACTTTAAATGGATGTGATTTAGCGGTCCATACCTTTGCGGCCATTACCACACGGTTGGAGGTCTGGTTCAGCACATGTATAGCACACAACCGACCGGTTATCTGGAGATAGAAGAGGCCGATTGGAAAGACTTGCGTACAATCCGTTTGGCGGCCGTAGATCACGGACTCTTCACTTTCATCGACTTTAAATTCAACGAATGGCCCGTCATTTTGATCACTAACCCGAAGGACTCGCTGTACTCAATGCCTAACATCGAGCCCTCGCACCGAACGGCCAACTCTACACACGTCCGGGCGCTGGTCTTCTCCAAGAGTCGCTTGTCGTCCGTTGAGTTCACAATCGATGGCAACAAATGGGTTGAAATGAAACACATTTCGGGTCCGCTTTATGTTCACGAATGGCAGCCAAAAGACTTTAATTCTGGCCTTCATTGGATTGAAGTGACCGCTACTGTAAGCACATAATTCAGTCACATCTCATGAATGAAAGTTATTTTAATTCAAATACTAATTGTTGTCTACATTCAGGACACGGATGACAACAAGAGGACAGTTAAACATCAATTCTCTTTGGACGGATCAAAGGGTGACTTTGATTTTGGTGCTCGACTTATGCTTCGTATCGACAATCGAGCGCTCGTTAGAAATATTCGCTTTTTATTCATTTAAATTAATTTTAAAAAATTTTAACACATTTTATTGTCTTTGTTTTAGGGATACTTTCTGTTTGGTTTGGCGATCAGTATCTGTGTTATACCACTCATTGCATTACGAATGATACCCAACAATAAAAGTAGTGATGAATTAAATTGTGAACATTATTAGACACTTATTTAAAGTGATTTAAATTGTATTTTTAGGTAAATATATCGTAGAAAACCGGCTTTGATTGTGTTCAGCTGCTAAAGAGAAGTTTAATATAAACAATAGCTTAAATTTGGCTTATAAGTAAGGATAGTAACGATATGGAGAAATGCGGTGAACACCAGACAGTAGCGTACAGACGATCTCATTGTACTTATCATTAACGCCATAATTGATATCTCGATGAACAGGTCCGTGGTTTGTGGGCTATGTATTAGACGATTACATTGGCGTATGTTTTGTGTGGGGAATGATTATCGACGGCTCGTATTTGCCCGGAGGTATCACTTATATTCTCGGCACTTTAGTGGTCAGTATAGCCATTGGTTTAGCTCTTTGTTAAATGTCTTAAATATGTCTTGTAATCCACTTTAAAGCTGGTATTACTCCATACGCCGATCACTCTATGTTTGGCTCATATCATATACTCCCGGCGCCAGCAGTTGTACGGAACCAATAGCACCGGTTTTGTGGCCACTTATTGCCATTTAAGACATTTCTTTTTCATATTCTTTATCACTTGTCACGTATGTATTCAATGAAACTCTGATTACATGAGTGAGCATTTGGTGGTTATAAACATTGTATTTGTGTTTTTGGTAAAAATAGATACTCTTTTCGTTGAACTTTTACTTCGCGTACGGATTAATGGCATATCTGTTGGGCTTTTTCAACACGTGGTCGTACGTCGTGTACATCATATTATGGCACCAATCGGTTGGTCTGAGCGCTCACTCATTCCCGGAACCGATTCGTCCGAAGTATCGAAAGACCGTAGAGTTTGATGACAGAAAAGAGACTCAAAGTCTTACGCGACCGCCGATTAGAAAATGACCGCACATTTGGCCCACAATTATATGAATGGACTGTTCGGGCGATTGTGTGATAGCTATTGATTAGTGAAACAAACAATTTATACCGGTTTTAGCGTTCAGTTAAAGTGTATTTTTGTTGCCTCTAAACGGGTTAACTATAAAATGTACTTTTAATTTGATATTTTAGTTCAATAGTAGTTTATATAATGAAATTAAGTTTTAATTATAATATTTATTTAGTTTACTTTTATTTAAGTAATTATTTGTTGAATTCATGACTGCAATTCATAATTATTGTTGATTATAACGTAAATACATTGTAACGCCAATTGGATTATACTTTATAAACATTGGATTAAATGCTTATAAATATTAAGTAATTTTGTCATATATTGCATGAAAACCATGGTTTGTATAATCGTTGGTCTTTTTATATGTATTTTATTTGATTTAACAGTAAGTTTTTGCTATAAAATTAGGTTTCGGACAGAATTTGAAGCAAATGTTTATATTATTATTATTTTTTAATTAATAAAATTAAAGTGATTTTTGATTTCGAAACGCGTTGTAATGAAAATAAGTTTGTTTTTCATGTGTTTTCATGTGAGACACAGAATGTAAGCGCATATGAGTTCACTTCTCTGACCATTGGATTCATTTATTGTCTCAAAAATTATAACTTAAATACTTTTAAATAATTTTGAATATTCATTGATTTTAATGACAAATATTTGTGATATAATTAACAGCGATTTTAATACAATTTAATTGCATTCAAATAGTGAGATATACTATTGTTAAAGACTGCGTTAACAATCGGTCTATCATTTCGCTCATATAGTGTACAAAATATTCAAAACGTGTTGAATCTCTCACCCGTTTGACTGTTACAAAACAATTAACAACTAAATTAAATAAATAGCATTGAAAACAATAATTGCATTCAAAGATAATATCAATTTCTCGCACTTTGAATACAAATTCAAA